ACCTAATTCATAACTAACAAGTTACAACAATAAACATATATGGAAAGTTCAAGTCTCTTAATAGCCTTAATATGATCACTCAACTTCAGATACTATGTATCTGACTTTCGAGCTTCTTGAATACTTTCCTGTAAAGTAGGTTGAATAATCATCTAAGCTAACAAACTGGAACTGTATTAAATGATACAACTTTTATCTCCTACTTCTCCAAATTTTGAATAAAGGAGTCTATAGATATACGTGAAGAAAGAGGAGTATCTGATGACTTCCTACTCAAAGCATCTACTACCACATTTACCTTACAAGGTTAATACTAAATAGACATATCATAATTTTTGATCATCTCTAATCACCTTCATTGGCTCAAATTCAGATCCTTTTGAGAGAAGATGTACTCAAACTTTGATGATCAGTAAAAATCTCGCACCTGACTCAATATAAGTGGTGATTCAAAACCTTCAGTGAAAATACCCCAGCTGCTAACCCGATATTATGTGTCTGATAGTTCCTCTAATGCGGTTATAACTATTGAGATGCATAAGAAATCACTCTACCACTTTGTATTAGCACACATCTCAACCTCTCAATGATGCATAACTAAAAACCTGAAAGCCCTTTATACTTGAAGGAATAGTCAAAATCAAAGTAGAAGTCAAATAATCCTTCAGCATATGAAAACTCTTCTCACACTCAAGAGTCCACATGAAAGCTACTAACTTCTAAATCAATCTTGTCAAAGAAAAGGAAATGTGAGAAAATTTTTGAACAAACTTTTGATAATTACCAGCCAAGCCTAAGAAATTATGAACCTTTGAAACCGTAGTAGACCTTGGCTAATAAAAAAATAACATGAAACTTCTAGGATCTATTGAAATTCCTATAGTGCTTACTACATGCCACAAAAATAACTTTTTTAGTTATAACAGTATATACATAAACATCTTTTCCAAATCATGCATTTATGCAAGTATTTTATTTTTACAATATACATAGAAAATAACACAAGCCTATGGTACGGTAGCAGGTCCTCTTGCACCCATAGTATGATTTGATAGTTCTATTGGCATTATGCTGCCAAAATTTCTAAGAAGTTTGTGAGTTAGAAATTTTAGTTAGGTAAATTAATAAAGATAAAATATAAATTTTTTAGCGAATCTTTACGTTAGCATCATTTGAACCTAAAGTTAAAATTATTCATCTTGAGTCACTGATTAAAAGTCTGATTTATACTTTCATCTTTTAAGATAGAGTTGATCTTATCATACACTACATCTAAGATGATTGCTTATGTATTAGTTTATTAGCTAGCAGTAAATTCCAAGCGAGTGTAAGCCTAGAGATATTTTCATACATCAAATTCCTTTTAAGAAAAAAATAATAATAAAGAATTTAATGATATTTTGTAAAATTTAAAGACATTTTTGAATGAGTTATTGATATTTTTAAAATATTTATGGAAACTATCATATATTTTAAATCTAGAATGAATCTAATCTCCACTATAATAGAAAGTTTTCTCCTCAGAGATAAAATTGACTATAGGGGCTTTGCCTCTATTGGAACCCAAGATCTCACTATGAAATAAACCATATCATAATTCACTAAGATAGGGGAAAATATTTTTTGCGTTGACTAAAACTAATTATGGGTTAGATTTTTATTTGAAATGATAGGTGTATGTGAATACTTTCCTCCATAATGAATTGCATATCCCCTATGTTGAATTTGAGCACAAAAAATAATTCTTTCTTTTCTCAAGTCGATAATGTGGTGTTAGTTTGTCTTTTGAGAAAATTAATGGTAATTATACAAATTTATCTAAATAAATACTAAATTTCAAATCAGTGGTCATGTCATTTAATTTTTCCATAATGTCCAATACATTATCATCAAAATCTAGTATAACTTCTTCTTTCTCTTGAAGTTAATCTTGAAATTCTTGATCCTCCTTCTTAAGAGCTTCTTTATTAAAATAACAGGTGTTATTTCTGCTGTAAGTGCCTTTAAAGTTTTATTTTTCTTATTAGTTTATATACGATCCTTGACCAACATAGTATGAGAGTGATATACCTCCCAATTTTGAAGGGAGAGGTGGGGGGCATCATCTTCTACTTAGTTCGACACTCTGTTAGTTGGATTTCTAATGTTGATGTCTCTTAAATCTTTGCGTTGAACTTTCATTTATACTCCCCATGTAGATATTTCATAAACTCATCATTCCACTCATCCAGTACTGTGCCAAATTGGGACTATGTGTCCATCTTCTAAATCATCTGCAATATATATACAATTGTAAGCATCTAAAATGAAAAAGAAGAAGAAGGAGATCCATATAACTAATCACTTTTTTCCATAGTGTCACCCAATACAAATTTTCCTTAGCACCTACTAAGGGATAGGTATCTTGAGGGGATGAATCTCATTATCTTAATTAAGGGCAATCATATTGGTCATCAAAGGACGAACAACCACCCTACATAATTCGCCATCACTAGGCAATGTCACTACATCATTTACTTTTCTCTTCTTTACAGACGAAGGTC